GGCCGGCCGCTTGCGCTCGCCTCCTCCGCGCTCTCCGGCACGCTCGCTCCGGCTTGGGAAGGGGGAGAAGCCAAGTGTGGTGGTGGTGGCTGACGGAAGCTGTGCCCCTGCGAAGGGCGGCGGTGCCAGGGGAAGGTTTGGCGTCAGAACGCACGCAGCCGTGTCTCCTGTACAGGGGGGAGGCTTTGAGCGAACGGCCCGGCCCTGAGCTCCCCGGCAGCCTTTAACCGGGGTGCCCGCTGGTGCCAAATCCGCCGGTGCTTTGTGTGTCTGCACGTTTCGTCTTGTAGCCACGAGGGAAGCGTGCGCGGCAGAGGGGAGCGGGAACGCCTGAGCCGCTCATCCGTCATCCCCCAGCTCACGAGAAGCGCCGAGGGGGAGCAGGGATGGGTCCGCTCCCGGCAGTGGGCAAAACTACAGACCCGCTTCCCCCTTCCCAGTGCTCCGGCCCCGAGGTCAGCGGGTTTGAAACACATTGTCCTCCGAGCAGTGGGGTTTTTTGGGTTCCCCGCTCCCACTTTCCCTCTCTCTTTCCTTCTCTACCACAGGCTGGTGCCACAAAAGACCTCGCAGAAGGGCAGCAGCAATTTCCCAAAGCAGATTGATTGGCCTTGCTTGCAGCAGGCAGGGGGGTGGTTTTGGAGGCTCTTTTCCCACCCTCGCTCCAGGCCTGTGCGTGCGGGGAGGGAAGGGGTTAGTCGTTCGAGCCCTGAGTCGAGAACGAGAGTCCAACAGATTCCTCTCTCCCCACGCTCCTTTTTAGCGTGAGCTTCGGCCTTGTGGTTTCTGATGTCATGGGAACTTCGCTCAGTCAGAGTGGCTGCGTTGTATTTCTTTTTCTCCCCGAGGGTCTGTTTTTGTTCATGGAGGAGAAGGAGAGACAACTACCCAGGGAATCTACATGCAAGCTTCCATGATTGCAGCTTCCCCCCTGCCCTCCCTCCTCCAAACCCCTCGCCCTGGGAGGGAAAACACTGGAGTATTAAAAAAAAAAAAAAAAGAATAGAAAAATGTAAAGCATCTGCTGCAAGCCAGCAGCTAGCAGCTCTGGCACCGGTTTGGGGAGCGGAGCTGGAGCGTGTCCCCTCTGCTCCTGCCTTTCCCAGAGCCCTCCTCTGCTAGAGGCAGGTGTGGAGTGGGCTGCGGACGCCGGAGCTGCTGCCAACCTGCGCTGCCCTCTGTATTCAGGGAAGGCAGCGGCGTTGTCGCTGCTGCTTGTTGTTGATCTGAATGGGGAATGAGTCATTTTCTTGGAAAGCCCAGCAGTGCTGCACTGGGAGGTTTCTGGGTAGAATAGGAACAGCGTTGAGCCAAGCTTTACTGGGGGGGAGAATGAGACCTACGTGGGGCTTTTTTAGTGCAGTCATTAAAAGGGAGGTGTGCAGGGGGAGGTCTGATTAGGAAAGCGTGGCAGGAAAAGGCTTAATTTTATCAGGGGAAGGGGGAGCTGGATTGCCACGGCTTCATGTGATGTGGCCGCAGCGGGAGGGAGCTCGGAGGGAGGGAGGGAAGGCGCAGTGAGGTGGCTGGTGCGTGGGTCACAGGGCTTGGTGGGAATGTTTGCTTGGAGAGAGTGTGAGCGTGAGTCACTGCTGGTGCACGAGCTTCCTGGCTGGCCTGGCTCCCTCAGCCCTGCCTTGGGTCTCTTTCAGATGAAGACGGGCCCCTTCGCTGAGCACTCCAACCAGCTCTGGAACATCAGCGCCGTGCCCTCCTGGTCCAAGGTCAACCAGGGCCTCATCCGCATGTACAAGGCAGAGGTGAGCGCCGGGGGCAGGGGCAGGCTGCCTGGCCACACGCCTCCTTCCCTTCCACTCGGCTGTGGGTCTGCTCTCCTCTTCTGCCGCTGCTTGGCGTGGGGACCCCGTCACCGCTGGTGCTGCCCCGTGCTTGGGAGCCCGTGGGCAGTTCGGGTGCTGCTGTTTCGAAGAAAGCTCCTGCCTAGTGCATGCGCCAAAACCAATCCCAAAATGGCCATTCCTTGCAGACACGACTTTGGCCATTTCTTGTCTCCCCACACAGCAAGTTGCATGGCTCCAGGTCTTGACCTGCTCATCCTGGTCCCCTCACTGCTATTTTACCAGCTGGAAGGAGATTTGGTTTAAATTATCATCCCGTGTTTCAAGAGCTCCAGAGCAAGCTAAACGCTTCCTACCAATCTCCTCTTGCTGAGTCCTGTCCGTGTGCTGGACCGGCAAGGCCACAGCTACCTCCCCGGCTTGGCAGCCCTCCACGTGCCGGGCTGTGCTGGCACTGCCCCAGCACGCTTTCCTGGTGAGCCCTGACCTGGGGAACCGGGCAGTTTTGGCTCTCCCTTATCTCTCCTTCCTGCTCAGGCTAACCCTGAGCTTGAGGAAGCAGGACAGGAACCGCCACATCTGGGCCTCCGGAGGGAAGGTCCAACAGGCGGCATCTCTTGCTGGGAAGGATTGGGACGGTGCTGGCTCTGCAGGGAGGCACTGGCTGTGCTAAAGACGCGGGGATGGAGCAGCGGGGAGGCTGGTGGTGCTTGAAGGAGTTAATCCCATACCCTGTGGTCTCTGCTCCAGCCGTGCTGTTGCTGGCACATATGGCAGCAGCTCAGCGAGCAGCTCTGCTTGGGCCCAGCGCACAAAGGGGTTAACTCGGCCGAACTCAGCGCTCCCTCCCCCAGCCCTTCCTCTGCACTGCACATCCTGTGTTTAGGTTCCAGGCCACATACCTCTCTAATCTGCGAGGTGTCACTCCCAGGCCCGCTGGCTCCTTCCGCCCCCAGCTCAGCTTTCCTCCAGGCCTCCAAAGAGGAGAAGAGGGACTGGGGGTCGACACCCTCCACTGGCTGCTCCTCAGAGGGGTGCCCCTGGGCTGTCCCTGCGGGACTGCCCTCACTCACAGCTCCCTCACAGGGGCTGGAGACTCAGCCTGCCGCAAACCCTGCGCTGGAGGCTCTGGTGTGAGAGCTGGGGGGTCCCAAGGGAGGACCCCAGCCCTGGCCCCTAAAAACTGGAGTCTGAGCATGATCTGCTGCTGCCTCGACAGCCCTGCTGTGGTCCTTCCTTTTCTTTGGACCAGTTCCTTCTCATGCTGTTGGGGTGCCCCCCAGGCATCCCATGTGTCCCTCGGGTGCTCCTGCCTGGTGCCCCACGTGCCCTGTGCCGCATGGCTGCTCCCACCTTGTGCACCATGTACGTGGCTGGAGGAGCTTGGCAGTGCCCACGGCGCGGTGTGTGTGTCCGTGGTGTCCTGGGGCCACCCTGTGCTGGCAGATGTACCTGGCCTGCTGGGGACAGCACAGCCTGGGGGTCCTTGAGAGACTGGGAGGTTCTTTGGCTCTGTGTACACAAGAGATGGTCTCTTCTGGAGGCCTGGGTCTAGTTTGAGTGGCAGATGACATTCTGTGTAGAAATACCAGATCCAGTGGGTTTCTAGAAATATCTAGAGGTGTAGCTGTGTCGGGGGAGAATGCAAAAGCTGCAAGGAGGAGTTATGATACAAATTCAGGCTAAGGTATAGAAAACATTGAGTCAACAAAAGTGTTTTGAATTTAGGGTTTTTCCTCAAAGAATGGTTGTAGATCTCAAAGCACTATTCCGAAGCACTTGGTTCTGGTGCAGCAACGTCCTTTCCTGGCTCTGCGTGGTGCCTGTGTCCCCTGGATGGGCAGAGGAGAGGGGGTACTCCTGCTGAGGACTCCTCACTGGTTCTTTATATCTGCTCGGGGGGGGTCTCCCACCCCGCTGCGGGCTCCTGCCTGGTGTGGGAGATGAGAGGAGCGTGGGCATGGACAGAGCTTTCAGTTACGGTGTGCTTGGCCGTGCAGCTTTTACCAGCATTTGGAACTAAGGGATCTCTTTGACTGATTTTCTGGGAAGGACACAGTGTTCAGGAACTGCTGAGGCTTTATCTTTTCAAAACCGAATCCTTCTGGGTGTTTCAGGCTAGAGACCCACAGTCCCTCGTGAAGATCTTGTCTGCTCGCTGCTGGCTCCTGGAGCAAGTTTCTGCTCGATGTTCCCAGATGTGTTGCCTTCACCCTTGTGCTCTTTCTCCCGTTAGACACTGCCAACGTTAGCAGGAGTGAGCCAACAGCCCCCGAGCGCTGCCATGGGTCTTTGTCTAGGTTCTGTGGCAGACAGGGTGTGTGACAGCAGGGAGGGAAGGTTTGGGGTTGTGCTGTTGCTTTCTGTCTGACTGGCTACGGTGAGAGCAAGTTTTCCTTTTATTTTTCCTCCCTCCCTTCTCCCTGCCCCTCCGATCACCCGTTGCAATTAGATCAGGTGAAATCAGACACTCGGATGGAGGCTCCAGCTCCTTGACACGCCTGGGGTGGCTGAGAAGTGCTCGGTGCCGGGCGGCGCTGACCGTGACCGCGTTTGGAGCGGAGGCAGCACCAGGGCAAAGAGGGGGTCGCTCGCTAGAAGCGGACCGGGAGAAATGAAATGCTCACTGGCAGCCTGCTCTCGCTTGGCAGGAGCAGGGCAGTCCCCAGAGCTGGCTCATTTAAAAAGCACTCTGGGTGCTTTGTCTCTGCTCTGTCCCCTCGGTTGGGGTGACTTTAAAGAGATGACAGAAGGCTCAGGTGTGCCTGTGTGGCTGGGAGCCGTAGTCGGGATCCAGGCACTCCAGGGTGCTTGCTGCAGGGCCTGTGGATGGGCAGTAGAGTGAAGACGATGTGTCTTCAGCTCTGTGTGTTTATGAAATCTCAAATGTGTCTATTTATAATATAAATATAATGGGTGAAGACGTGTTCGCTTGGAAGTGCAAGGGCTTTTCTTATTCTCTCCATCAAAGGCGAGTGAAGAAGTCGACAGAATAGAGTGTGGTTAAAGCAGCAGCCTTGATGTTTTTCCCCTGAGCCTGCTTTTGAGTCTCCTGACCTTTCCTTCTCTGCTGCAGTCAGTCGGGAAATACTTTCCATTGTAACTAATCTAGTCCTAGTTCCATCTTTAAAGGTTGGACCTAATGCATGTTTCGACTCCCCAGTTGAGTTCCGAGCGGGTCTTCAACGTGATCGAGACGATGGCAAGAAGAAAATAAGCCTGTCCCCTCCACTGAGCTCATGTTGGCTAAGTATCACCCACAGGTGATGGCAAGGAGGGTCCTTGGCACCTTTCATAATCCAGTAAATTTGTGCTAATCCTACTGGATAGAGGAGGAAAAGTTGCTCTGCTTGTCTCTTCTTGGGCTGGCGGTGTGTTAAGCGGAACGGATACCCATTCTTCCCACAGATGGTAGAGTCTCTTCATCCGGAGCCCAAACCAGTCTGGTCTTACCATGAGACTCCTCGGAGCTAGTTGGGCTGACATTTCCAGCTGTCAACATCTCCAGAATTCATTTCTCCCTGCTCTTCCCTCACGTCACTGCTGTCCAGCACTGCTTCCTCCGAGGGTTTGTCCAAGTGGTTGTGCTGGGAGATGGCAGCAGCTCTCAGCATCCCACGCATTAGGAAGCTTTGAAGGTGATGTGCCCCGATGGTCGCAAGACTTCTCCTTGGTGCCTTGCCACGGAGGCTTGTGGTTTTCTGCCTGGCTGTAATTCCCCAGGAGCGGATACAGCCGTGCTGCATCTTTGGCTCCAGCGTGCTTGCGAGCAGTTCGCTTGTGCCGGAACCAGTTGTCTGACGTCTGGCTCCAAAGGGATTACCGTAGGCCTTGGGCTTCTGAGCACAAATTCTCCTGCTTGCCCGTGACAGCAGCGTGAGGGCAGGCTCCCTGCCTCGGGGTGAAGAGCTGTCTGGAGCACACTGCTTCCTCCTCTTCCCTAGAGCTGGGATCTCGCCTGCTGCAGTGGGTTCGGCTCGGCCCTGTGAGGACCATGTGGCTCTTGCCCCGCTTTGGTAGGAAGGAGCTGTCCTTCAAAGAAGCACCTGGAGGAACAAGCCGTGCATCTTATCCTGGGATCTTGCCAGGATCTACCTGGCACACCGCTAGTTGCAGGCAGGAGCTGATGTGGCCTTGACACCCTCCTGCTGCCAGGTGTACAGCACCCCGATGATGAAATGCTGCAAGAATTGGGCTTGTTCAGCCTGGAGTAGAGGAGGCTCCGAGGAGACCTTATAGCACCTTCCAGTACCTGAAGGGGCTACAAGGAAGCTGGGGGGGACTTTTTGCAAGGGCCTGTAGTGACAGGACAAGGGGTAACGGGTTTAAATTGAAAGTGGGGAGGTTTAGATTAGATATCAGGAAGAAATTCTTCCTGGAGAGGGTGGGGAGGCCCTGGGACAGGTTGCCCAGAGAAGCTGTGGATGCCCCATCCCTGGAAGTGGCCAAGGCCAGGCTGGATGAGGCTTGGAGCAACCTGGTCTAGTGGAAGGTGTCCCTGCCCATGGCAGGGGGGTTGGGACTGGATGATCTTTAAGGTCCCTTCCCACCCAAACCATTCCATGATTCTATGGGGAGCTGGGTGCCTGCCTAGCGCAGCATCCCATCCACCCTGGCTCTGGGCAGGTGCTGTTTGGGCCAAGGAATTGCAGGGACTGGACGGACGTGTGTCAGTTGGGAGCTGCTGTGCTTCGGCTGCGTGCACTTCCCGTCTCCTGGAGGACAGGACTCCATCCCCTGCCCCAGCTGGGGACAGGGAAGGGCTCTCCTCCCAAGACACAGGGCGCTTGGGTTTTGTTTCTTCTCTTCCTATTGTGCTGTCTAGGGAGGGAAGAACTTGCCCCTAGCAGCGAGGAGGAGGCCACCATCTCACTAGCCGTGCCCCCAGGCACCCTGGCAGATGAGTCCCCCGTGCAGCACAGCGAGGTGATCTTGGTTAGCACGACCACTCGCGGCTGACGCGGGTGAGGTAGATGCGGCTGGACCGGCGTGCGCGCGGTGCCGGGGTTTGTGTGTCCGGAGGTGAGGCTGCTCTGCGCTCTCTGCTCTCCCAGACTCTGGGACTCTGGTCTCTGCACTCCTCCAACCCTTACCCTGCAGTCAGGGATGGGAATTCAGAGGTAAGGGGTCGTTGGGAATAGGATCACGCCTTAAACTATGGCAGCAAGATCACTAGGGCTTCTCTGTGGAACACCAGAGAACCCAGAATGGGGTTTGGGCAGCACCTTGAGGATGCAGGATGGTGCCTTGAACCTGGAGCGTAGGCACCATCCTGGGAAGGGAGAGTCTCGTCCCCGGGGAGTTTCTGCAGTTCTCCAAGGGTTTGTAGGGTGAAGTTCTTCCAAGAGATCATCAGCTCGAGCCACGAGAGAGAGAATTTCTCTCTCACCAGTGGTGAGAGAGAAAGCTGCTGGCATAAACATCCCTCTTCTGCTCGTGCTGCAGGCCTGAATTTCAGCAAGGCTCTGGCTGAAGGGAAGGGGATGGGGTTGTGAAGCATTACTGGGCTGAGGAGCCTGATGGGAATGTGGGTGGGGAGACCTGGGACTGATCCCTCTGCCTGCCGCTGAGCCGAGTGGCCCCAAGCTCGCTGCCTCCTGACCCTGGAGGCAGGATGTAGCTCTGGCTGCGTGTGTAAGGTGGAAACGTCTCCTGATTTCACCTCTCTTTATCTCCCCTCCTGCAGTGCCTGGAGAAGTTTCCTGTGATCCAGCACTTTAAGTTCGGCAGCCTGCTCCCCATCCAGCCTGTGACGTCCTAAGGAGGCCGCGGGAGGAGTCGAGGCAGCGGAGGCGTAGCGCGGCGCTCTTCCTCCTCCCCTCACCCCCTCCTCATCACCTTGCCCGTTACACACAGCCCATTCATTCCTGCACATCCGCATAGCAGCCACAGATCCAAAGCACCCGCCGGCCTTGCACGGGAGACGGGACCCGGAGCGGCTCCTCCTGCACGTCCCCAGCACGGGGATGTCTCGCCGGCGACCGCGCCAGGGCTGTGCTTCCCCGCTCCGCTGCGTCCCTGCGGCTGCGGGCGTGTGAACGGGGTTGGAATAGGGGCTGCCTTGCAGCACAGGCCCTCTGCTTCCCTTCCAAAGAGGAAGGGGGTGTGGAGGGGAGGAAGGCACGTGTGTATGTGTTGGGCAGTGGTAACTGCAATTTCCCTTTTGAATTTCATTGAACTTTCCTGTTGCTGTTTGATTTGGGAAACCACTGCGAGGGGCGAGGTGTGAGGCTGCACGTGGCAGCCGCCCCTGCTGGCACGGGGGGGTCTGAGGTGGGT